GTTAAACATACCAAACAAGCAGCAAATTCTCAGCCATTATGTACAAATTCAATATTATCCTCTAGGACCTGTAGTTCCCTGAGAAACGTCTTCAACGTCACAAGAGAGGCAACTCTCAGGAATTTAAAATCAGACTTAGGAGAAGAAAATATTTTCTGTGATGTGTCTGCCTCTTTCCAAATGCACAGCACCAGCCAAGCAGCACCTTCAAAGGTTTTGTTTTGGAGAACATAAAATTTTCCTTTGCCTTCAAAACTGGCTTTTCCTTTGTTTTCAGCCCAAGCATCTGGGATGCCTTATCCTCTTCCTAGAGCTGCCAGCAGAAGTGCAAACTTAATTCCTAAGTGGGCCTCAGTACTGCCTCCAAAGCTCAGCTCTCCCAGCAATGCCCTTGTATTGTTCTACAGCAAAGAAACTCCTCCATGCTCAGATGGGCAGAAGAAATGAGCAAAACCTGCTGCACCCAGCAGGGCAGACCCCGAGAAACAAGATCAGCAACTACATTTTGGCTCACAAGAGAAGGGCTGTGAGAGCACTTAAGATCTCCAGGGTGTCCCCAGTCTGGGAGGAGGTTTGGAGATAGGCTCTCAATACCAGGGGCTACCACATTTTCCCTTAGGAAAAGTAAAAAGCTAAAAGGTAACTCTAAGTACTCATTATTCTTTTTTACTACTCAGAATTAAATCTGCTGGGAAATCTGTAGTGATAATCACAGTACTGGTTGCCAGACCATCAGAAGCCAAAGAAAAAGGATGAAGGGGGATTAATCTGTGGAGGTGATGGCAAAGCATGACAGCTGCAGAGGGCCTGAGCAATTTCTTTAGGGAAATAGTAGTGCAGATTGCTAAAATGGTACTGGAAGAGAGATTTAACTTAACACACAGGCAGATCTTCATGTCTGACTCTTGACTATGATAAGAAGCAGAGAAATGTAAATGCAGTGGTTACTAATGGGCATTATGAGCAGGCAGGTAGCTTTGACAGCATGTTCTCAGCTGGAAGCTGTACTCCCAGGGACTCTTATCTTCCACATCCACTTCTTTCAGCAACCATATAAATGTAGCAGGCAGATTTGCCAACCACAGCATGCAACTGCTGGATAATGGTAGTGGTTGCCAGTTAGGCCCATAGCCAAAACTGATGCCTAGACAAACTGAGAAAACCAAGCTTCACTGATTCCCATCACCAGCATTTCCACTTTCTGGTGAGACACACACAGAAAAGATAGATTTTCAAGGCAGAGACTTCACTGCTATCGAACACGGGTTTGTATTCTGAAGAGAAGCTGTTTGCCTCTCCTTGCTGTGGTGACTCCCTTGTATAGGCAGACATACACTGGAAGACAAAGAGGGAGGGTACAGGGAACCTCACTAGTGAGAAGACCAGATCTAGGGCAGGGCTCATGCTGCCAGCTGACACTGAACCCAGACCCAAAACACTAGCTGGGAGATTCTAGTATTTCTGCAGAGTAATAGAAGCAACAAAAATGACTTCCATTAATAATGACTATATGTGTGCAATACCACACACTTGCTTTCATGTTTTTCTCTGTTTACTAATTCCTGAGCTACTAATAATAGCTAATAGAAATGATGGTGAGAACATGGAAAGAAAAGCATTTCACAAAGTGAACCTCCCCAAGACGGCCAGTGAGGTGCTGGACAGAAATGACTCTGAAGCTCCTGAACAGTAAAACCAGAATTAACCTCTGCCCTTGTGAATGATCAATATCTAGTGTCAATCCTGATGGATTTCGGACCCACCCTTCCCTAAAGGTTAGCTATTCCAACCTGACATGTAAATAATTAAACTTTCTCTACACATTGCCAAGATAGGAAGAAGAAAGGCTATTGCTGTTCCACATAACTATAGATAAGATTGGCTCTCCTTCCATCTCCTGAAATTACAGCCAAAGCCAGCATGAGGAGGAATCCCTTACTCAGGTGCTAACGTTCCTGCCTGCGCTGCATGAAATAAGAGCTCTGACCCAGCCTCTGGGAGAGAACACACACAGCAGAGACAAAACATTCTTCAAGGCCAAGGTTACCAAGAGGGCATTGGATTAGGGTTATGTTTGCAGCCAGCCACACCACTGAGAGAGGACAAGCTCGCTGAATAAACCACAGAAGGACATCAAGATACCAATCGGGGATTAAAAGGACACATTGTAACTGTTCAGATGACAAACCTAATTCTGAAGATGTTAAATATGTTAAGAATTTCAATAGAGTTTTGATTTTGCTGCATTGTCACAGTCATTGATTCTTGGTTATTTCTAATAAAAACCAGCTAAGGCAACATGGAACAAACTTGGTTTGTTCAAGGCTGAACTCAGCAATAATAAAGCATTTCTATGATAAGGAGAAGCACCCTAAATTCAACTGTGGAAAATTTCCTATTCTTAGATGTGAAACCATTTGGAAAACCTGACTTACTGATGTAATTTAAAATGTCATATCTACAAAAGTATGTATAAAACCTGCATAGTTTCTGTCAATAAAACACAAAGTACACAAGCAGTCTGTATTTTGAAGGTCACACAAGCAATGTGTACTATGAACTTTGGGATTCATGAAATTGTGACATTTTAAAGTGGGAGGAGAGAAAATATTTTTCTGTCTTGTCCATATCATGAAATATTAAAATGAACAAACTGTAAATATTAAGATTCAGTAAAAAATATTTTTAATCCAACATTTAATATTAATTAATTTTCTGCTGAGGAAAAAAATCAACAACTAGGCACCATGAAGTCAATAATCCACAATTTTGATCTGATTTGCATAATCCAGGAGAATGTCATGTGGTTTCACGTGGATAAGACGTGCTTTTTGCAGAAGAAACACCATCTTAAAAGTACCTCTAACTTTTGTCAATTTATATACTATATTTAAAAACTATCTTCCTTTATGCTATTAATTGTAAGGGTTCAGAGTTATTCATAATATCAAATAGCACCAAATCCTGGGTCTCTTTCCCAGCAGCTCGCTACGTGGTGCTGGCAACAGTATACGTTAACACTTGTAATTTATTAACCCCCTAGGTGTTGTAATAGAGAGCTAAAGCCACAGTCAGGAGGCATTTAGCAAGTTATATGTGCTACATAGTTTCACAGCAAAGGATTTTCTGCGGTGTTTTTCTTGCCTCGCACTTTTTTATGACTTTTTCCTTTCCTGGTAACTGCCAAGCCCTACCTACTTTGGAGATGCTTCCTTATTTTGCCCTAACATACTCTCTCCCATTTCAGAAAGTGTCGCCGTGCATTTATCAAGAAGACATTTTACATATCCTGAAGAATGTTTACCTTTTTCAAATGCTGGTAGTGAAGTCCAAGACAAACTTATATGATGGACCCTGCATCCCCAGAGGTGTCCAAGGCCAGGTTGGATGTGGCTGATCTGGTGGATGGTGCTCCTGCCCATGGTGAGGGGTTAGCACTAGATGATCCCTAAGGTCCCTTCCAACCCAAACCATTCCATTATTCTTTACAGGACAGTGTCCTGGCTAGAACGACCAGCTATTCCACATACTGAAAGGATACATGTAGGAGGGGCAGCTAACACAATGAGGGTTTTGATAGAAAGCACCAAGATGTGCACGTTTATCTCTGGTTGCTTTTTCATTGTTGCTGTATGCCACTAGAAGTGGCAGTAGTCCTGCTTTTGTGACTTGCAAGAAAACATCATTTATCAGCCACCTTCCTGAGTGCAGTTCTTCTGCATATTGGACCAAAAATGTTTAATATGTACTTCAAGGTTCAACAGGAGAGATGTCTCCTTTGACCACATCAATGTGACATCAAAGTCAGGCAGGAAAACTACACATGAAAACCAACTTTAGGCAGGAAGAGATTTAGAGTATAGAGCATTATTTAATGTCACTACTAGTTTTATTGTCGTTCCCTCTCTTTTCCTCTGTACTCCCACAGAGCCATCAAGAAGCTTTACAACTGTTACTCAGTAAGACAGTGGCAGGAACTGAGGAGTTGTTGGGGAGTGTCTATGGGGGTAACAGAGCTGGTTGCCCACTCAGTTCATAAAGTCAGGAAAAAATTCTTTGCCACTTGAACATTATTGACACTCTAAATTCCCCAAAACATATAACTCCTGTGATACTGGAGGAGCGTAGATGGAAGATGGGAAAGAACAAGAAATGGAAGAAAGGATGCGAGTTTTCTGCTTTTTACGTGAAAATAAATCAAGATATGCATTTCATTCAGGGTCTCAATTCAGCTACATAGGGCTGGCAACATTTTCCACTAAGAATAGAGTACATGCTTATGGCACCTGTGTCATTCTTTGTAAGGCACCCAGAGCCACCCAACGCTGAACCTTTATGACACTGGAATTAAACAACAGGCTCTCCTCCAACCCCACAAGCCGGCTGTGCAGGAAAAACACAATTTATTCAGCAACTTAATTGCTTTGAATTCTTTGTATTATTACTTGTAACATAGTTGCTGAGATGTCAAGCGCTGGGTCACTGCCCTCCAGGGAGTAGCTCGCCCTCCACCCCGGGGCAGAGTTTGGGCACACCTGGCAGGACGGAGGGGCCGGGGGAGGCTGGGAGCCCCCGAGAGCCCCCGAGAGCCCCCTCAGCCCCCCTCAGCCCCGGGGAGCGCCTTCAGCCCCCCTCAGCCCCGGGGAGCGCCATCAGCCCCCTCAGCCCCCTCAGCCCCCTCAGCCCCCTCAGCCCCGGCCCCGCCGCACCGGCCCGGCCTTGGCCCCCACGCCCCGCGCTCTCTCGCGAGACTCGGTCGCTGTAGACGCGATGTCCTTTGGGGCACTGGCGAGGGGGAGGGCACGGGGGAGGGAGTCAAAGCCTTGATTGATAGCGGCGTTCACCAATAGACGAGGAGAGTGATGAGGTTTTAGCCAATAGCTTCACAGCGAGGGGAGCGGTGAGCCAATGGCGATGGTGGGGGGCGGAGCGCAGCGCTGGCTGATTGATCCCAGCTCTGGCGTTGTTCAGTCGGAGCGAGAACATTCTAGAGGTGAGTACGGGGCAGCCATTGCCGGGTCCCGTTCTCCGGCCCCTGCTGCCTCAGCTGCGCGCCTCTCGCCGCCTCTCCCTCCCCCCTTCCCTCTTCTCCCCCCTCCTCTTCCCTCTCCCTCACAGGTGCCGCCGCTAACGATGCTCCTGATTGTGTCTTGCCCGCAGATTGCCCGGCGCCGCTCTCCCTGGTGATACCGCCCGCCCCAGGACGCCGGGACCCGGAGGCTGCGGCGTCCGCCTCCGCCTCCCTCTCCGTCTGGATATAAGCGCCCCCTCGGCCCTGTTCTCCTCTCACAATCGGCTTCGTCGCAGCCCGGGGCGAGCAGCGTTGGGTTTATGTCTTTATTGGACGAAAACGGTGAGTGCTAATAGTGGACTAGAGCGGGTGAGGGCAGCAGGGTAAGGGGAGCGGGGGCCGGCGGGTGGTTTGGGCCAGGCTGGGGCCTCAGGCTGCCGGTGAACGGTGGAGATTCGCAGAGGTTTTGTGTAACGAAGCGTCCGGGACTTTGACGGGAGGGGGAGGAGAAGCAACGCGGGGCGGGGGAGCAAACAACATAAAACCGCACAACAAAATTAAACTCTGAAAGCAGTAAACCTTCATCTGTGGGGTTATTGTTTGCTTTTTTTGGGGGGGGGGGGCGAGGCGCTTTTTTTTTTTTTAAAATTATTTATTTATATTCGTTTCGCCGCCGCCATGCGACGAGACAAGATGGCGGCGGCGGGGCCGCGCCTCCCGCGCTGTGCCCGGCGGGGGGGGGGGGGCAGTGGCGCAGTTCCCACCGGGCGCGGGGGGGGGCGCTCGGCCCCGCTCCCGGGGGGCGGCCCGGGGGGGCGGCGGGGGCTCCCCCGTGCCGTGCGGGGCGCATGCGCGGCCGGCGGCGGCTCCCCCGTGGCTCCCGGCGCTGAGTCAGTGTTTAATTGCTGCATTTGTGAGTCACCGCCGGCGGGGCGGGGACGCGGCGCTGTGCGGCACGGAGCCGGTGTGCCTTCCCGCTCTTTCCTCCGTGCGCGGCATATGGGGGGTGGTGCTTGGGATGAGGGTGTGGGGACCAGGAGAGGGAGCTTCAGCCTGCAGCGGATCAGTGCTGCGCTCTGGAAGGAGGGAAGAACGGTACGCTCCTTCTGGGAGCTCGGTCACCGAGAGAGCTGCTTCCTCAGCGTTTCTTCAGACACGTGGTCAGGTTACACGGTGGCTCTTTTTAGACATCCTGGGCAAGGAAACTGTGTGTTGTAAACGGAGTCCGCGGTGTACTTTTTGCTGTGGAAGGGTAAAATTGTATCAGGGCTAATGTAGAACACAAGGCACGTAGAGATCTGTGTTCTTAATGTGTAAAGAAGTTGTAAACCTGACCAGAGGGACTCGGATCGTGTTGCACCATAGGCACGCTCTTCCACATGAATACTAAGTAGGCTTTTTTAATGTGTCAACGCTTCTGTCATTAACGATAACAACGTGATGACGTGTCAGAATAGCCATGCTCTGTAGTCAGGGTTGCCTGTGTAGTCAACCAGTTGTGGCTTAAGTACTCTTAGATCTGATTATAGAGGCACGTGTTAATTTAAATATGTAAATACTGCTCAAAGCAACGTTAATAATAGGATTCATCCTCCTTCCCCTTCCTCCCCCTCCTCCCTTTCCCCCAAGAAAAAATCAACTGGAAAAGCTGCTGCACTGCTCTGTACCTCTGCATTGCTAGGCTTTCTACAGTGAAGCAACTTCTGTCAGACTTTATCAGGCTTATTGTTAAGTCAGAACTCAACAGAAGCTGCTATGAGAATCCATAAATGAGAGGGAGAATTACGTAATTTTCAACTCTTTTCCACTCCGATTCAAAAACTGGTAAGCCATGTAGAAACTATGTTGGGCTACAGATTGCTGCTGCTCCATCTTACTTATATTCTGCAACATTTTGGAAGACTTCAGTTTGTGATAGGTTCATGATGTGGAATTTGAAATGGATTTCCAAATATTTCTCCTGATTTCCTGTGCCCTTCAGCCTGAAACCATACCACGTGACCCTTATGGCGCAAGTCACTGGTCTGCATAGTAAATCGAGGCGTGTGCCCTTCCTTAGTGATCCCAGAACTCCTGCTGGAATTAATTGTATAAAAAAGTAGTTGTAAGCTGTTCAGTGGTTTTAGGGCAGTAAGAGAGGGTGGAAAGCTTGGTGGTGCAGTTAAAGAAAAGTTCCTTAGCAGTACAAGCCAAGGATGGATTTCAGTTTCATAGGTTGAAGAAAGGCATAGCATAACAAATGTACTCTTTCCTTTTTTCACCCTAAATATCATCCATTATATAGCTTTGTGGCAAGAGTAGATTGATGTACATGAAGCTAAACTTAATTTTTTTGTGTGTTAACACTTGCAGAGCTGTTGCGCAGCCACTGGTACCTGTATTGGGGAAACATAGCGTACAAGCAAGAACCTTACAGCCTCAGTGGCGAAAATTTTTTCATGTCAGAGACCGAGAACTCTTGCAGTCGTTTATGTCATCCCGTCTTCTCCAGACAGAAGATACCAAAAAACTGCAATCAAAGATCTCTTCATCTTATTGATAAAGCTACTAATAAGGCAAAATGTCTGTCAACGTCAACCGCAGTGTTTCAGATCAGTTCTATCGCTACAAAATGCCCCGTCTGATTGCCAAGGTAACTTCCTAAGCAGCAGCTGGAAGCAAAGCAGGGAGTGTTCTCCCATAACTGGTTTTCCTGAGGGGGAAAGAGAGGCCATGATAATGCTTGGCCACTCAGGGCAGGGAGGGTGTGCCCTCCTTTGGTGCACACTAAGTGCATATGAGTCTTGGAAGGAGATGAACTTCAAAGCAGAATTTTGGTGTAGTTAAATGGGAAATGCACACTGGGTTTGGCTGTTGCAAGCATTTAACCTTAAAATATTATTTGTTTTCTTTAGGTGGAGGGCAAAGGAAATGGAATAAAGACGGTTATAGTCAACATGGTTGACGTTGCAAAGGCGCTTAATCGGCCTCCAACGTGTAAGTATCGTGGAATGACACAGCATTTTGTAATGCTTTTCTCTTTGAAGTGGTAGTGTGAATTGGCTACTAAAGCATTAATACTGTTCCTTAAAGATTTGTAAGAGAAAAATGTGATTGTCTCGGGATTTAAAAATGGACAAAAATATACAGTAGCCTGTTTACTTGCTGTTTAAGAATCACAACAAAGATACGAATGTGGTAGTGGCTATAATTCTTCCTTTACAGATCCTACCAAATTTTTTGGTTGTGAGCTGGGAGCACAGACCCAGTTTGATGTTAAGAATGACCGTTACATTGTCAATGGATCTCATGAGGCGAATAAGCTGCAAGACATGTTGGATGGATTCATTAAAAAATTTGTTCTCTGTCCTGAGTGTGAGAATCCTGAAACTGATCTGGTGAGTGCTCTGTCTGCATTAACAATGATACCATGGAAGCACTGTGTTAGGTGTTTGTGGTTAAAAGACTTCAGTATCTATTAACAGAAATTCAAGTACACATTTTTGCACCCTTTGGGAAGGTTTTACATCTCTAACAGTTCGTAACTTCTAGGATAAATTGTTACTTCTAAACTTTGTCTTTAAGGGGTGATACTAAAGTATTTAAACCTCTGGCTTAAAATGTAGACATCAGGCTTTAATGCAGTTGTTCTGTAGCTAGTAAATTAACTGGAAGTTGTTCTCTTTACAGCATGTCAATCCTAAGAAACAAACTATAGGTAACTCTTGCAAAGCCTGTGGCTATCGAGGCATGCTTGACACAAACCATAAACTCTGCACGTTCATTCTCAAAAACCCACCTGGTAAGTGCCTTTCCTTACCTCTGGGGATAAAGCGAACTTCTGTATTAGTGGTGTTATGGAAGTAGAAAAATAAATAGCTCACATTTTATTGAAATGTATAAAGCACCAGTATACTCCTAGAGTGTGTTTGGGGATCAAGATTGAAGGAGCTGTGCTGGTAATGTCTTTTCTCCCTACAATGTGTCCTTCCCAAGTACAGCTATTCGTTAAAAGCTGGATTTGCCTGTGCTGCAGGACAAAACTTACAAGGAAGGGAGGTAGTTAGCTTTAGGTCAGCATGAAATGTGAGAGCAGGAAGTAAAAAACTGTAGTAAATGAAAACTGTAATCTGTGCAAGCAACACTCTGTAGTAAGCATCTAGTTGCCTGCTGCAATTTAAGCTTGCTAGAATAGAAAAGTCTAACCTATTCCAGGGGTCTCTGCTTTGTGAGGTCACCTGTTATATAGACTTGGACAGTCTTGGTGACAAGCAAGACTGGCTGCAGCTGGGGCTTTCCCCACCAAATGTACATCTTCCCTGAGTGTGTTTGGGGATGGGTACTACCCATAACTTTCAGCTAATGACAGCATCCAAACCCGCTTGGGGATTTGGCAGAGGTGCAGGGACTTTCTAGTTTGCTCTAGTTCATAGAACAAAACATTAAAATTCACTTGCAGAAAGTGGTGACACTGGTACAGGAAAGAAAGAAAAGGAGAAGAAGAACAGAAAAGGCAAGGACAAAGAGAATGGTTCTGTGTCCAGCAATGAGACACTTCCACCCCCACCACCAGAGGAGATTACTCCTCCACAGGTTGTGGTAAGTAGAAGGGAAAGTGGGGAGATAAGGGTGTGTGTTGTGTTGCTCAGATTTAAACCTCTGAAGTCACTGGCATTCCTTGCTGGTCAACATTGCTCCTAAAAGTCTTACTTTATCCAGAACTTAGTGCTGGAATAGAAGGGTCCCAGATTTTCCTCTATAGCATCTGTATCAGCTCATTAGTACCAGAATTTATGCTCCTTGCTAAGTGAAAGCTGCCTATCCTTTATCACTCCTTTTCAGGCACCTGTGTACTAGGTAGAATGGTTGAACTGCAGTTCAAGTAGCCCTGCAGATGGCTATAGAATTAGGTTTAGCTACCATTACTTCTTATATTTGCACTTTCTCCATGATCTTTGACTTGCAAATTTTATTCCAAACATTTCTTCAGGCTGTCAAGTCCGTATTATTTCTATCCTCATGTAATACTAAGCTTGCAGTAATATTTTGTGGCTCTCTTGTTTTGGTTTTGTATTGTAGGAGGAGGAGGATGATGATGACTGGGGTGAGGACACAACAGAAGAAGCCCAGAGGCGTAGAATGGATGAAATCAGTGACCATGCAAAGAACCTCACACTTAGTGAAGACCTGGAAAGAACTATAGAGGAGAGAGTCAACTTACTATTTGATTTTGTAAAGGTAACTACTCTCTACTCTCTGGTTGTTGGCTTGATGTAATCGCTCAGCTGTAATTGTACAACATGTTTGTAAGGAAACCAAAAGCAACTTGCTCGAGCTCCTGCAAAGTACTGTCTCTACCAGCAGTGGGAAAGGATGACTGCAAAGAGCATTAATGCAGACCTCAAGTGGCATTAAAATGTTTCTCTCTATACCTGTTTTCTCTAGAAAAAGAAGGAAGAAGGTGTCATTGATACTTCTGACAAAGACATTGTAGCAGAAGCAGAGAGACTGGATGTAAAGGCTATGGGCCCACTTGTTCTCACTGAAGTCCTTTTTGATGAAAAGATTCGTGAACAAATCAGAAAATACCGACGTCACTTCCTTCGTGTAAGCCATCTCTTCTGCACTCATTGTGACAACTGTTCGCAGGTTTTTGTAGCAGTTGTTTGGTGCTATGGGGAAGGACTTTTTGTAGTGTTTTATTTTTAAACTTCTCCTTGGGTAGGGTGAGCTGCTGGGAAGGGATAATATGAATTACTGTAAACTTTGCAATCTCATAGAACTGCTTCTGCTCTGTTCAGTCTGGAGAGAGGGTAAAAAAGCTCATTCAATCACTTTTGTTTTTATCACAATTCTAGTTCTGCCACAACAACAAGAAAGCTCAGAGGTACCTTCTCCATGGCTTCGAGTGTGTGGTAGCTATGCATCAGTCTCAGCTTATTTCAAAAATACCACATATTTTGAAGGAAATGTATGACGCAGATCTTCTGGAAGAAGAAGTCATCCTTGGCTGGGCAGAAAAGGTAAAGGGCAGTTTGTAATGTACTGTAGCAATTAAATACCTGAAGGTAGCCTATTGCATCTGGCACCAAGAGGCCTCCTTCACAAAAATGGGCTGTGGAAGGCAGTGGGTGAGATTAGGGTTCCAGTTTGGGCAGTATTTGGGTACAATCTGGTGTAAACTCCGTCAGTGTTCACACAAAGTACCTGTCTTTCAGGCCTCAAAGAAATACGTTTCAAAGGACCTTGCCAAAGAAATCCGTGTCAAAGCAGAACCATTTATTAAGTGGCTAAAGGAAGCTGAAGAAGAATCTTCCGGTAATGAAGAAGAGGATGAAGATGAAAACATAGAGGTAGGAAAGGCTTGCTTCCTGACAGCAGCTCCAAGGCTGCTCTGTTCCTGCATGCTGAAGTCTTGTAACCTTGTCCTGGTGCACTCTGAAATGGATTACTTGGGGCATGTTGGGAACAGGAGGAACGCTCCATTTACAGTGCTTTAAGTGCTGCTAATTGTTGTCAGATATCTACATGATATCAGTGTAATGCAGTTGCACTGCATTAGACCATGCCATTCTACAGTGACAGTAGCAGTTCATGTAGTGTAAGGTTGACAGGAGGTATCAAGCATCGTGTCTCATGTTGGAGATGAGTTTGTTAGATAAGCTGATGGAAGAGTAACTGACCATTTTCCTCACAGTTCAGACCTGGGTGTAATCTGTTGGTTACACTCCAGCTGGCTGTGGCTGGGAGTGTTTTTACACAGGGACTGGTTGGCTGTTCTCCCAGCATTGTATTTTTCTACTCCTGAGTAGGAGATGCTGCTTCCCCCAGATTTACATGCACAGCTCTGCCTTACAAAGCAGGGATTCATGGCCGTGGTCAGGAGGGTGGTTGGAATTACTCCAGTGCTTAGTGGCAGTAGGTGCTGTAGTTAAAGGAAGTGTCTTGTCTCCACAGGTGGTGTACTCCACAACTGCCAGTGTACCTAAAGTTGAAACTGTGAAGCCTGCAAACAATAAAGATGATGATATCGATATTGATGCCATTTAAAGTGATGCAACGTAGCTTCCAGCATAGTAATGCAAACTTCTCTGCATTTTCTGCCAGAAGTGTGACTTGTATGTGCACAAGCTGAAATGGCTTAACATCCTGCTACTTTGTACTCTAAAAAATGTATCTTTTTACTGTGACTGGTCTTGTGTAACTAAGCCTAATACCAAGGAGTCAGCACGTCGGTGAACTGATCGAGTTTGCAACTGGCATGTTCTATTTTGTTTTTCTAACTTGTGTTGGACACATACTTGGAGCACATTTATACAGTTGTGGAAATAAAGGATTTGGTTTTGGTCAATCTTCATTTGTGATTCAACCCCCTTATTGCTTTTCCAAGTAAGTATTTACACAGCTCAGTGAAATTTGTGAAGCTGATCACACAACGACAATCTCTTGAAGGAGACATAATCCCACCTTAACCCTAGACACTGTTCCAACAGTGGAGATTTGAAACCTGGGCAAGAAACATGTGTTGGGTAATCAACAGTGTGCAGCTGCCAGCTTCTTAAAGCAGGACAGCTGTGTCTGTATTCTGATCTTTGGATGCTTGGAGTTTTAAACAAACTTCAATTGTAATCATACATGAGTTGGGTTTTGGCTTGAGTTTTTCCTTTCCTGTGGTTTTCAACAGCTCCAAATCCAGGATTAAAGCAGCAGGAGCTGGTACTGCTGCAGTTGGTGTGTGCTGCCCCTGAGGACCTGGCTGTTGCCAGGGGTCCAGCTGTGCAGTGCCACCACAGCACAGGACAAGCAGTGTCCAGCTCCAGCCTCACTTGGGGAGGGAGGGGCAGAGGAGGTCTGGCACCTGAGTGCAGAGGTCCCCAAATTCACATCTCTGGAAGTGAGTGTCTTAAATACCAATGTTGAGGGATCAGATTTCTTTAGAAGCAGGATAAACTTAAAACCTGGTCCATCAAAATCAGGAACCTGGTATGACATGGTGTGTGACAAGTTTTGTCCAGGGAGGAGTTAAGGGTGGGGGTTTTGTTGTCCTTCACAGCTGCCTGCCAGGAAAATCAATAGTGTTTTGGGGTTTTTTTGTTGGATTCAATATGAGAAGTTTTGAGAGATCAAGGCTGCAGTACACAGTGAGCACTGCACCTTTTTTTCTAGTCAGGTTGTTCTGGCAGAACTTGGAATTGGACAAAAGCAAAGATTGTGTTTGGGTAATTGCAGCAGGGGTGCTTTGAGCTGCATGTTCTGTTCTGCAGTGTCTGTGTTGCATGTGGTCCTGGCAGTGAGCCATCACTGGGCACCAGCAGCTGTGGCAAACAGTGCTAGAACCATGCGGTAAAGTCACGGGACATTTCAAAATGCCCTTTTTTCTTATGTGGGTTTCTGTTGCTGTAATACAAACCCACCATTTTTAATTTAGAGACAAGTTTATTCCTGGCTTTTGTCTAAAAGAAAATCTGTTCTCCATTGGGTTTAAACCAGGTTTGTATTTCCAAAATGCCCATTTCCATGTGTGTTTGGGAACCTAGAAGATTGATTACTAGTCCCTGTGTATGCTCTCATGAACTTATCTGTTCCTCTTGGTGCAGGCACGTGCCTCCCTTGTGTAACTTGTGAGCACACCCTGATAAGTGTTACTCTCATGACCAGAAGGTTTCTGCTTGAAGTTGGTTTTTTGTGGGGTTGGCTGCTGTGAAAGGTGACACCAGTGAAGTACCATCTCAGGGGTGGTCAGTCACATTTCAGGGCTGACTTGGTGGCGATTGCAAGCTGCCATCCATAGGGATAATCTCTGGCTGTTTGGTTTTTTCCCCCCAGGCTGTAAAGACTAGCAAGACATACCTGTTCCTTCCTGCAGGGGAAGTAGGAAATAAATTACCTAAAAAAGTGTTTTGTAGGGTCAGTGAAGTGATGATGTCATACCAAAGTTATAGGATGGTAGATTTGGTGTAAAACATGGTGGGAGTATGCAGGGAAGAGAGGTGTTCTTGTCTGTAGTAACCCACCGGTGGATCAGAGTGAGTGTGTCACAAAGTGGTACCCTAATTCAGTCATGGTGGAGGCTTCTAAAAGTGCTGAGGCTGCAACTATGAAATTCCTGGTGCTGAGTTACACTTCTGACCCTGTTTTCACATTTTTGTTGCTGTTTCTGCCTCAGATTATTAACTGATGATTCCACCAGCTTATAAATATTGAGTGTTATGTGACTATTTCTTTAGGGAAGGAAGTCTGACTTTAAAGTTTCATGAGTCTTTGAATGTATTGCCTCTGCTATCTGATTAAAGATAACAAGTACATCTTCAAAAGGCAACTTGGAGTTCAGATAAAACCTGCTCCAGGCTTCCAAGTTAGGCTTATGGCACCTGGGAAGGAAACAGTGCTGGGTGATTCCCTTCACTTGGCGCTGTACCATGTCTCTGCTAGAAAACCCCGGTGTGAACACTGCCCTTGGGCAGGTGCAGGGTCTCGTGGCAGGTCCATCAGCCTCGGCTTTTCAAACCCTCATCTTGCAGGAGCCTGAGACTGGGAGCTTTGCTGCAGCTTGGCAGCCTCGGGCAGCAGTTTCTCTTCATCCATCATGACAAGGAGCTGCTCAGCAGCTTCAAACAGGGTTTGAAATCCTGACTGTTGTGCACGTAAGAAGTAAAATTGCCTGGTTTTACTTTTTTCTGTTAAAACCTACAAGTTGTCATTAGAAGCCAGTGCCTCCTCAGCTGGATCTGATCAGATATCTGTTAGATGAAAGTGTGCTCTTTGCTCCTGAGTGTGCACAGCTTTGCCTTGTACTGAGGCAAGGGCTAAAGATGGGAAAAGTGATTTGAAGGGATTGCAGTAGGCAGAGAAATGTGCTCAATGCTTTTGTTCTACCTTGCTGTGGTAGTGGCTTCCCTTGCCAGTGTACCTGTGATGTGGTGCTCCCACAGAGGTCATCTCTGCCGGGCCACTTGCCTGAGGCATTGCCATAAGGCTGTCATTCCTCCCCCCTAAGATCTGCCCTGTTCCTTGGGGTAAGAGACTTGTGGAAAGATCCTGATCTCCATCCAAGTCAAACAGCTCTGTTGATTTGTTGCTGTCCAGATGTACCTCAGAGTGTAAATAGTTGATAATAAATAATGCTTAGCACGTGGGTGTCTTCCAGTTGTGAAAGATCTGAACCTTGTTGTTTGAAAAGGAGAGGCACCTCTGAAAAGTAGTAAATGTAATGATCTGTAATGAACTGTCCTTTCATTTGTGGGCTGCTACGAAATTGTAATAAAGATCACAGGACCTCCGGGGTCTCAGTGAAAGCAGGGACTAGGCATGGCAAGGAGATTTGGAACAAAAGTAGCTGACCCCCAATTAGTCTTTCCAAACTGTGACAGCTATTCTCAAACTAATTAGTCCCAAAGAGCCTCAGAGGCCTGTTACTGAGGATTGACTCCTTGGCATTCGGTAACACCACTGAACCGTAAAATTCTGGAACAGAAAACCCAGAAGGAAAAAAAAAAGGCAGCATGAAAGCAATGAAACTTAATGCTCTTAAACCTTATCTGTGAAACACTGCATGGTTAAATTTCAGCTTAAGGTTTATAAAGTTGTTGGAGCTGTTGGGCTTGCTTACTTGCTTAACAGGCTGCTGGTGTTGCCTGTGCTTTTCATTTTGGAAATGATCATCTTGCTGCCACAGAGGTGTCAGAATCTGTCTCTTGACCGGGAATTGCTGAGGAGATGTTCTGAGGCCCCTGACAAGCAGCTTTCCCAGGATGTCCCTTCCTTCCCTAGGGCAGACGAGCACCAGGGTATCTCCACAGCTTCCTTAGAGCTACTGCAAGCTGACATCAATCAAGGGCATGGCCCCAGTGCCCAGGTGATGCTGCTTTTATTCAGGAAAATTCTAAAACGCCTCTTTTTTTTTTCAGAGCAAAATCAAATAACATCTTGATAGTTTGGGTTAGGAACATAAGGAGCAGATTCACTCAAACAGAGGGAAATGTTCTTCCTGCTGAAATTAATGTCAGGGAAACGAAATGAGTGCTAAACCATCTTTCCTGCACATCAGTTTTTCTACTTGTATGTTCTGCCAAGTCGTTGCTTACTCAATAGTTAGGGCTCTTTAAGCTAGTTTGTTGTGGCTGAATTTCCAGTCCTGGGTGTCCTGTGGGTGAGATGGCAGTGGCTCCAGTGCTGGCCACCCAGATCAGCTGTGACAGGCTCAGAGTGAAGCCAGGCAGCCGGGTCAGTAAGGCAAGGCTGGGAGCAGCGAGGCACAGGGTTGGGCACAGACCTGCCCGTGGGGGTGCACGAGCTTCACAAGGGCCCCTGCCCAAGTGCCAAGGTGCCTTGGCCACAGATGTTTTCTCTCAGGACTTTCTCCCACTGGTCCTTCCACGTCACTCAGCTCCAAAGTTTCCCAGCTGCACCACACTGGAGCTTGAACACAGGCAGTCCTGCACCTGCGAGGAGGGGAAAGGGTTGTAGAGCCTACTTCTGCTCCCAGGTCCCTGATATTTTCTGACTTTTGAGCTGTTTTTTTCTGGTGCTAATCTCATCCCATTACTGTGGTGTTAGAGGCATTTCCTGCACATTATTTTCTCAAGGGGAAAAGAGACAATTCAAAGGAGTGCTCTGGTCTGAGCACAGAGTCACAGGCACTACAGCCATACATTCCAAATGAGGGAAGTATCAGTACCAGGAACAACTCAACTGGAGGTTTGTGTGGGTGTTTTATTATTCTCTGTGAATTTGTGCTTGATACTGTTTTTTATATTTATCTGATATTAATAAAACCCAAAGAACTGCATTGACGTCAATGGAGTTTGGCTTTGATTCTGTGCAATTAAGGTAGACATCTGACATCTTTAAAATAAACATGAGGAAAGTATACTTCCCCAGGAGAATCATATCCCTGTCTTGTCAGGGAATTGTTATTAAATTATTTATTAATCAGTTATCACTCTTACGGACAAAGTCACAGGTATACAAATGGTGAACAGAGTAGTTCACATAGGAAAAGACTAAATAAAGAAGTAAAATACTAAATGAAAAGACTAAGGGTGGTCTCTGGGGTTGGGAAAACTGGATTTAAAAGCTACCATCTCCTGCCTCTTTTATTCCTTCAGCCTGTGCTCACATTCTGTATCACAAGCCAGAAGAGCTGGTGGCTCCAGCTGGATGTGCTGTGGAACTTGGGATGGTTGTGGATGATGGGCAAGCACACTCAGGGAAAATTGTAAACAGGAGCTCAAATGACAGGAAAACACTGTTCTGGGTAGAAGAATTAATGGGATTTTAAACAATATCTTTTAGATTCTTATTTATTAGATGACATTTAATACAGGAGTTTGCATTCTCCGCACCTTCTCCATAAAC